GTGATCCTCTGTATTGATACTGCGAATGTCCCCTCCGTAACAATATTTTATGTATTGCGACGGAGATGATCAATGGGGAGAATCTCAGTAGCAATACAAATTGGTACAACCCAAGAACTGACCAATCAGGAGGCTTCGTTTTACAGATCATACGACAATGATCATTATATAGTGCACATAGATGTGTAAGTTTTTCAACAGATTTGCTTCACGAATGAAGCCATGTTAATTTCTTTGTATAACTTGTCAAACGCCTTTATATAGTGTGTAAATAGATATAGCAATAGAACCGGGGATAGAACCATAAAAATGAAAGACATTGAATATGCAGAGCATACATGTCTGAGACTAACATGAAATGATCGTCTCAGATATAATGAAAGTAAAATAATATTAGCCTTTATAATATAGTGCAAATTAATTCATATGCTGCAATAGAGCCATATTTGTAAACTAAAACATAGAACATGTAAGTGCATTTAGATGTTTTCAACTTATTTGCATCCTATATAATAACTTCTCTTGACGTCATGTCTGTTTAACAAAATGTATCATACACATAATAATGATATCATTGTACATCATTGTATATATAAAAACTAATAAATAATAACATTTATCATAAAGTTTGTGTTTATGTTTTAGTTAACAATATCATATTATGTATCGTGTTGTATTGGAAACAAGTGTATTTTTGGTTTCCGTACGAAAACTCCCATAGTTTCTTGGTTTTGAATTATGATTTCTAAATGGCCAGATGGTGGGGAGGATGTGTTTCTAGAAATTGTTTAAATAATATAGTTTTGATGTTTTAGGTTAATTGTTGTTTTTCATTGTGAGCAGTTGTGCTATTAGATCTTTCTTAGATATATATATATATTTCCTTTTTGCATTAATGATGGTATGTATTTATACTTATAAATTAGACAATAAAACTATACAAATATTGATGATGGATGGGCTCAACAATTTAGTAGGGCCTCTATTAGTAGGCCTTTGTGGGCATGACTTTGCTTCAAAATTTGGGCCTAATTTTTGGTTTTAGGGGCTTAGAGTTTCAGGGGGTTTTGGTTGCTTCACTCCCCTCCCTAAAGGTTTGAAAACAACATCTTAGATGAATGATTCAGTACACCATGAATTGAGTCCAGGGTTTAAATCCTAAAGATAAGTTTAGGTTACCTAGTGCACTCAAATACCAAGAGTCCCAGACATATCCACAAATCCTGTTTTTGTAAAGTCAAAAGATAAGACCAGGAATCTAGAAAACATCCCACGTGTGTGCCTTTCTTTTAATATCAAGTGTTTAAATAAATAACTCAAATGAAAGAAACTAGTAATTGTAGTGCCAGTGGCGTTTACATCGACTAACGCTCAATTGTTATAGAATCCATTATGGTGAATGTCATATTATACACAAAATATAGTCTAAAAATCAATGGACAATTCAAGTAATATGTTTTCGTGACATATTTTCTTATACTATGAATGGATAACTGATGGATAATGCATGTCTGGAGCAAAAAGAGAAATAATACGAAATACTCAAAACAGCCACAAATAGAGCTTCCAAGCTTTAATTTTTTTTATCGTATGTTAATTTTACCCTCTGTGATAACTAAAATAAAAGTATATGGTAAGTAATTGATAGACTATGTATTAGAGTGCAGTTATGTAATAGTTGTGTATGTACTAAATATGAAAATGACTGAAGTCGTACTAGGCCCGTAGCCTGTGGGGGGGGTTGATGGGTTGGAGCGACCACCCCCCTCCTGGCCAAAAATCTTTCAAAAACATGCAGATTTTCAGCATTCTGAGCATTTTTAAGTGATTTTGGCTATTTTTGGACCAAAATTGTCACACGTGAATCCCCCCTGGAATTTTTCAAAAAGTGAATCCCCCGGCAAATCCTGGCTACGGGCCTGCATACTGTCATTCAGGTGTCATTATGGTAAATAGAGAGAGCAAATAAATAATAATAAAAAAAGAATTATACAAAGCATTATTACCACCTTGCCGGGCCAGCTCTAGGGGTTTTAGTGGTAGTTTAGAAGGCGTTCATTTTACTATATCGACCTGAGCAATATGTGACGTCATAGTGGTGGTTAAGAATGCATTCAGACCGGTCGAGAATGCATTTAACGACCGGCAATTTTCCCCGGGAAACTAGATATCGTTCAGTGCGTAAGATTTTCTTGCTGTTTCAGTCCTGGTCGTTAACGGTGGTAATAATACTAATAACGTCATTTCGAAGGGCAATATAGTGAAATATTTCACTATATTGCCCTTCGAAATGACGTTATTGTACTATTAACATACAAAATGTCACTACCAGCCATTTGTTACAGACGCCGAACACCGAACGGCGACCGCCGAACACCACCCACAAAAAGTTGGATACTATAACATAATAACACGACTTTTGGTCGTGACATAATATTAAGACTTTCTACAGGTTGGGTGCAGTGGAGCAAATTGTAATGTCACAAACACTTCTGGGGGTGAGGTAAAAATTCTGAAAAATGTTAAAGAAATTCCAGAATTAACCCTACGAGTGGGAGATCCAGCAAAAAGGCCTTATTTGTTGACCTTAATTAAGATAGCTTGCAACCGCATGAGTCATACCTGACTTTCATAATATGAATATGCAGATTTCAAAAATGACAATAATAAAAATTGAAAAATGGCCGATCACTATGGAAACGAGACGCAAAAGCCACGCCCACTTTTTAAATTTCTTACTTGGTGGTTAATACATTTTAGACTGTAACTTTCTCGATTTTTAACAAATCTTCACATTATTGGTATCTGCTAAAGCGTAATAATGAGTTCTTTCACCTCAAGCATAAATAATGTTAATTTGCTCATTTGCATATCAATTATGACGTCATAACCCTTATTTTGGCCTCAATTTTCCATATAGTTACAACAAAGTAACAGTGTTTTATTAGTTACACTTCTTAAAAATGGATAAAAGTAGGTAAATATAGTGCCAATACAAGCAAGAGTATGTCGGCTTTTCGGATATACTGATATTGAAGGCTTCATGTTGGTTAGAATAACATAAAAACTCGTTGCCATGGTTACCGTGAACTTTTCAGTAATTTAGGCAATAAAACGTTTTGGATTGTAACTTTCTTTGTTTTTAAGCAATCTTAGCATTATTGGTATCAGAAGAAGCGAAATAATAAGTTCTTTCACCGCAAGCATAAATTATGTTAATTGGCTCATTTGCGTATCCATTGTGACGTCATAGCCCTTATTTTGGCCTCGATTTTCCATATATTTACAATAAAATAACAGTGTTTTATTAGTTAAACTTCTTAGAATGGATGAACGATGATAAATACAGTGCCAATACGAGCAAGAGTATGTCAGCTTTTTGGATATCTTGATATTGAAGGTTGCATGTTGGATAGAATATCATAAAATCTCGTTTCCATGGTTACTGTGAACTTTTCAGGAATTTAGGCAATAAATACTTTTTGGACTGTAACTTTCTTTGTTTTTAAGCAATCTTAGCATTATTGGTATCAGAAGAAGTGAAATAATAAGTTCTTTCACCGTAAGCATAAATTATGTTAATTGGCTCATTTGCGTATCCATTATGATGTCATAGCTCTTCTTTTGGCCTCGATTTTCCATATATTTACAATAAAATAACAGTGTTTTATTAGTTAAACTTCTTGAAAATGGATAAAAGTAGGTAAATGCGGTGCCAATACAAGCAAGAGTATGTCGGCTTTTCGGATATACTGATATTGAAGGCTGCATGTTAGTTAGAATAACATAAAAACTCGTTGCCATGGTTACCGTGAACTTTTCAGCAATTTAGTCAATAAAAACATTTTGGACTGTAACTTTCTTCATTTTTAAGCAATCTTAGTATTATTGGTATCAGAAGAAGCGTAATAATAAGTTCTTTCACATCCTGCATAAATAATGTTAATTAGCTTTATATTTACATATACATTATGACGTCATAACCCTTGCTTTGGCATCAATATTCCATATATTAAAAATATGATAAGATTGTTTCAATGGCCTCACGTCTTAATAATGGTTAAAAGTAGGTATATGTATTGCCAATACAAAGAAGAGTATGTCAATCATCTAGATATACTGATAAATTAAAGTCTTCATGTTGGTAAGCATACCATAAACACTCGTTCCCATGGTTACCATGTACTTTTTAGGCGATGAATCCTATTTTGACTAACTTTTGGTTTTTAACCATCTTATATTAACGATATAAACGATGTGTATTATGGTGCCATGATAGCAGAGTTAGATCTCCTTTGCCTGCCTTTGAGCTCTCAAAGCTCTTCATTTTATAACTCATCTTGTTCAGGAAAACACATCAGCACAGCGCCATAGTGGATCACAGCTACGCTAGCTCTGATGAAATCTGTTCTCAGAATTCCTTCTCTGTTAATGTTGTTAATGTCAGCAATCGCCATCTGCGTCAAGGTTATTCTCCCATCTCATGCCATCTCCATAAACAGGAGCCAAAAGCAGCAACAGAACAATCAGCTTGAACAAGGACATTTCTCTCGCTAGGTTTCAACTATTCTCCTCACTGTTTGTGCCTTGCAAGAGTTGGTAACCATGCTTCTATCCAGATTAAGAAATTGTACAGGATGAATTGCTGAGTTACTGGATATAGAACTCTTACTCTCGGGGAGCTTTTCTCTCTTATGACCTCTTTTGGGGCTTTAGACAAACATAAGACATGTGCCCTTAGGCTGATCAATCAAAACATACCAATTGACAGCTCTGCAAAACATTCCTTCTCACAACAACTCCTATAATTAATGCCACAATGTGCACAGAGCTCTCTTCTTGAAACGTTTGACAGACTCTTTTATATTCCTCTTCATCTCCGTCTTTATTTCTTCAACCATTTAAGGAGGTTTTCCCCCACATGATCACTAGAAGAAAAGGAGATATGATGATCCCGTTGTATTAGCTTGAGTCCTTTCAGGATCCATTCAGATTCCTGATACGCTTCCTCCCCTGGACCACTTCCATGGTCTGATCAAGAGACTTTGGATCTCTTCTGTGTACTGCTGCTCATCATCAGTTATGGCATTCTCAGAGCTCTATACCTCGCTAGTCTATCTTGTGAAGAGCAAGGCATCTCGAGATATGTTAAAGCCTCCACCAGGTCATCATAGGCATACCCCTCTTCCAGCTCCTGCACTAGCTGCTGCGCTTAATATCTTCCATCAACTGGTTAGTAAGGCCTGCCTCTTCTCTTCATCATTTCTCTGCTTGCTCACCATGCAATTCTTGAAGTATGCTTTGAAGTCTAACCACAGTGTGTTCCCATCAAACAATGGGGTTGGTTTAATCTTGGTTTTCCTTCCAAATTGTGCTGACTCTAGAGCCATCTCATACATGCCCAATGCTTTCTCAGCAAATTTAGCCTTTATAGCCTGTCCTTGATTGTCATCTGAGCGCTGTACTATTACTCTCGCATCTTTATAACATTTGACCTCAGAGTTCCCAAACCTTTAAGACATCATTTGGGATTCAGTTTAATTCAATTCTCTCTTACAGTGAGTCACAGGATCTCCTCTCATACCAGGAATGTCTGTTGAATATATAAGCAAAAATGCCAAAACTTTAAGGAAACCCAACAAGAAAAGCAAACTGTAAGTGTAAATCTGTCATAAGAAAAGTAGACCCTATATATCCCAAAACCATGATGTAACGTGAAAAGAAACAAAGTCTCCCCCTCCAATCGAGAACCAATATCACAATCCAGGACCAGAACACCAAGGGACATTTCATTCATACTGAAGTCATTACAATACATGTTGAAGAAAAATTGAAAAATTTATAGCCAATACTCATAACATTAAAATTAGTTGTAGATACCAGTACTCATAAAAGATAGAGTATTCAGTCTCAAATGATGAAGTTAGAGGAAGCTGCCTCATCGGTCTCAATATATAGGTAGCAATCTGAAGCAATTTAATGAGGATGTTGTCGGGACAATTGGGTCTATTTCAACAGAATATACTGGTCTTGTGTGCCACAAATTGTACGTAAGATGTCAAAGTTGTATATTTGCTCCTAAAATTCAGACATTGTCCTGACAACACCCTGATCGAAGTGCCTCAGATTGCCACCTCGTACTTTTTCTGGTAACTCAGACCTAGAAGAAGTCAGTACATATGGTCTTAGTCTGGATTCACCTAATCTGGATTCATTTCTTTTGGAAATACTTTGGTCTCTCCACTAGGAGTCGTCTTGGCTCTCTCATTTTGGCCCACTTTTAGTGTGTCATCCACTTTAAAACCAGGAGCATCTCACTTTTCTCTCCAGACAAGACTGCTCTTCTTGACACCTTTTATTTGGAGGGGTTTCAAGCTGTTTCAATCACAACTTGGGAACCAATTCACAATTTCTTCTGGAATCCTCTTCATCCAAGATTTCTGACTTAATCTCAAACTTCCTTGACATCTCATCTCTTTGGGCAACAGAACCCATCACTGCCACCAATGTCTCGCTTTACCTTTTCCCGAGTATCCCGTATGCTCATTAAAAAGAATATCAGGGGCGATCAATAATAACTCTTAGAGGTTTTTCTATGAGTGCCGACCTTGTGTGGTGGTACCGCAGTTAAAGATGGCTCACATGAAACAATTGCATACACATTTTTAAATCTATTCCAACAAAGATGATACAGAAAACACAAATGTCCATATATGATTTAATGTCACTATGATTGTGTATCTTTGGGAGTCGGCACATCTCTTTGGGAAATATATTCTCTGCTCTTGGAATGGGTTCAGCTCTAGGAGTAACTCTGCTCTAGTAGACTATAGGAGTCACTTCGTCTATATAGGAAGTATCGTATCTGGTCTTGGACAGTGTCTGGGCTCTAGGAGTAAACTCTGCTCTGAGAGTCTCTCGTAACTTCTCTGAGTATTACCAATTCACTCTCTCTCAGAGTAATCTCACTTGGGAGAAATTAGAACTCAAGGAGTATCATGATTCTTAAAGTGTAATCTCAGCTCCAGGAGTCATCTCATTCCTGTGGGAAATCATGTTTCAGCTCTTGGACTGGGTCCAGGCTCTGGGAGTATCTTCTGCTCCAGGAATTGTCTCGCTACCAGAGTGATCCCTAATCTACTTCTGCTCAAAAGAGAGCTACATCACTATGAGCAAACTCGTCTCTTGGAAGAGTCGAGGCTCTAGAAGTAACCTCTGCTTTGGAAATCACTTTGAAACAGGAGTAACCTGAGCCTCTGCTCTTTGGTGTGGTCCAGTACATCGATCAACAATATGAGATTAGACAGAGTTATAATCACTCGGAAGAAATCAGAACCACCTGGGAGAAATTTTCTCTCAAAGTGGCCATCACTTCCGGCGAAATGAAAGATGGCTAACCACAAGTTCTATGGGATGAAGAAGGCCAAAGGGCGGACCGCAAACTACGCATGATGGTGTCAACCTCAAGGAGGACTCACCCTCAATTTCGTTCCTAACGAGGTCTTGTCTCTTCAAGATCTTGTGTTACTCCTGTTCACATGATCAGTTTCTCACACCCAAGTTGAGACACCCATTATTGATGAAAATTTATTCAGCCAGGAAAAGAAGATTAAGGCATCTGATTGGCTGGTGGCCAGTTACTTGATAGCTGGGTGATTATTTGAAACTGTCTGCCGAACCAGTAAACATAAGTATGTCTATGTGTCATTATGCATATATATACACTACTCTTTACTAAAGATATTCTGAACTACAGGGAACAAAATATGAAATGAAGTCAAAATGACATCAACTGAAACTACCTATAATTGACATAGTATTGCCTAAAACTGACCATTTTAGTCCATAACCTAACTTTGCCAAGTGGTTGATAGGTTAACAATTTAACGTCATGGCTCCCCCTAGCTATGCCTAGTGAATTGATGAAAGTAAATGGCATAATACTGACAAAAATACATCATTTTTGTAAATGTTTTACCGTTGCTAGGTGTATCTGGTCAACTTGGACCTAGTTAACTCAGACCCTAGTTAAAGGTATTCTGGGAGATACAAGTGACAAAATATTGCTTCTGGAACGAGATCAAACGACTTTGACATATTCTTTACCCTACCTATGTTGCAATTTAACAATCAACGCAAGTATACATACCATATTTAAGCACATACCGGACACATTCATTAAGATATTTCTTGATTGATCAAATCGATTATTCAGATTTTGCCTTGGATTTGATTTTAAATGCTTCTAAATGATTTTCTAATGCTTACTATGATTTCTATTCTATTTTTATTTCGATAAGCATTTAATCAGGGTGTTGAAGTTAACAAAATATAGAGGTACTACATTAATTCCAATATGCAGTATGAAGAAATATATCAGTACATGTACATTTTTGTTTTAAGGTATACAGCTTGAAAATAACAATTTATTGTTTGTAATACATTTTGGGTATATTATTAAAGCTTCATGTAAAATCATAGTATTGGTGACTACATTTTAGGCATATTTAATCCTATTTGATTTCACAACTAGAATGTATGATTTATGATTGACTCTTGCAATTATATATGATCACTTTTGCTTTAATATATTAATTTTCACTTTAACACTCAAAATATTGAAAAAAAGATTCAGAAATACATTAATTGGTACTAGTTGACTAGGGCCTGAGTTGACTAGGGTCAGAGTTAACTAGGTCTGAGTTGACTAGGAACCGTTGCTATGTGTTTGCTAGGCATATGTTATGACTACACAATGCCTAAATATATAAGGGTTATGTACTGGGAGGTTTTGGATATGGGATTATCCAGAGTGACATATGCGTATCTACCTGAGGGACTGTAGGGACCAAAGGTAGATGTGCATATCTCACGAGGGATGAATCCAATATCCAAACCGACCGTACATAACTGCTTTATCCTATATCAAGTAGAGTCTTTCTTACCCTAACTTTTTTATTTTGAAAGTTATCATATTTTCCAATATATCATTTTAAAGGTTATGTAAAATGCTGATCACCCTTAGAATATCAAAAATGAACTCTTCCTAAATTGCTACAATGTTTCTTGTAAGGTTGTAGTTGACCATTGATTACGTCAAAAGAAGTTAAATTACCAGAATAGTGAATGGACGGTGAAAAGTTGATACTGCAATTATGGAGGACAGGGACGAAAGATTAATTGAAGACTAACAAGAGGAGAAGCTTTATAGCCATGAAACATTGCTCAAATGTATCAAACGGCTCCCAGAAGCCTAGAAAGTGCAACACTCCTGATTTTTTTGATAAACCTATGTTAGTTCTAAATTTAAAAATTATGGGGGATGGAGAACAGACTTATTTGATGCCCTGTACAGTGTATTTATGAAGCTCAGATGTGCTTTGTGGTTGCATAAATTGTAAATTACATAATTTTGGACAAAATACCTCATTTTCGGCAGCTTTTGACCGTTTTTAGGTGGTTCCTAGGCAGGTACATTTTATTTTGTTGCAGAGTGCCCGTTTTTAACACACACATTGGTATTTCTTAGATTAAAATACTAGTGTCTTAATCTTAAATGAGTGTTTTGATAACATAACCTGTGAGTAAATGGTAGAATACTGAATGAACTATCTCATTTTTTGGCAAACTTTAGAACGTTTCTATGTGGTTTCTAGGCAACACAGATGACATCACAATAACCAGTGTACAAAGACAGTGACATATTGTAGGGTCAATGCTGAGGGGTGATTCTTTCTCCATATATAGATGTTTTAGTGCCTATACAATGATGAAACTAGGGCAAAATGGCCATAATAAGGCGTTTTAATCCATTCCTAAGTGGTTGCTAGGCAACAAGATGACATCACAAGTTCTTAACCACTTTATATTCGAGGGGGGTACTATTCTGGACATATGCGCCACGTTTTGTTTTCCAACGTCCAAATGGTTTGGTAGCAAACAGGCATGGACATACACACACAGATAGACAGAGAATCAGTAAATTGTAGTAAAATGCGATTAAATATGGATTCAGCATTTTACCATAGTGTAGCCATGGGTTTAAGAGGCTCTAGAACAAAAGTGTATTAATGTTATGTAACATCAAAGGTATCACTGGAAAGAGCACATTAACGTGAACAAAAATGTTCTAATTTTATTTGATAAGAATATTCACTAAGGTATTTAATTGACATTGATGTGGAGCAATTCGTTAAATATACCTTTAAATGAGAATTTAAGGATATTATGACGTCATAATTGCCAGGTGAACAATTGAAACCGACTAAATAATACATAGGGTGACGGGACATTTTATTACCTTCAATATGGTACCAATATCATTAAAAATAGTTAAAAATTAAAAAAGTTATGGCCAATATTGTGTTTATCATTCTTTATGGCTAATGAAAAGTGGGCGTGGCACTTTGCATCCGTTTCCATGGTAACGGGCCATTTTTCAAAACTTTTCATTGTCATATTTGGAATCTGCATATCAATATTATGAAAGTACAACATGTTTTGAGCGGTTGCAGTCAATCTTAATTAAAGTTCCATATTTGACCCTGCTCCCACTCGCCTACTACATTATTTTCCTAAACCGAAATCCAGTTCAACAAATAAACACTTGGCCTAATCATATGTAGAATTTACAAGAGAATGGAAAA